AGTTAAACATGGAAAATACAAGATAACAGAATTTTTTTTGTGTGTTTCACCGTACACCTTTTGCAATTTTTTTGTTGTTTGATGTTTCGTTTTTCTTAATGGGCACGGGATTTCGATAGACAGATCGTACAGCATTCGCGCCACTGACTTCTATTCTGCGCCATATCTCTCAGCGTCTCTAACCATAGACAATCCTCATCCCTTGGGCCCCAACCTGGGAGGCGGGCTGCACCAACCGAAGCCAAAGCTGAAGCCAGCTTCTTCATGCCTCTAGCCCATGTCATGGTCTGACCGCCGCGCCGCTTCTTCCAGCCTTGCCCGGCACGTGCAAAGAGAGCACGGAAAGGTAGTCGATGGGCAGGCATGCGCAATACGTGACCCAGCCATCGGAGGCGGTGTAGAGCGATTACTTCTGTTAGAGGGCGACTATCTGCACCAAGCACACGACGACGGACCTCGTCATTGCTCACCCGGTGTTCCCACCAGACACGAGCAATGCTTCGGAGACATCGATGGTCAAACACAGAAAGTCGATTAGCATCCTCCGCTCGGAGAGGCCAGGTCTCGCAACCGTAAAGCAGAACGCTACGAACTGCGGCGATATACACCCTTCCCTTAAGGGACAATCGGATGTCATGGCGGCGCCACAGGTGTCGCAGGTTGGCGACTGTCACTCTAGCTTTCGCTATTCGTGATGTGATCTCGTCCCCAACACCACCACCAGCTGCGATCAAGCTCCCGAGGTACTTAAAGCTCTCAACTACTTCCAGCTGATCACCACAGAGGGTGAGTGCAGGCACAGGCTCCTGCCAGTTTTGAACAAGAACTTTGCATTTGGAAGGTGCAAAGCACATACCATATATGGATACCTCGATCGCCAAGCGGTTCAGAGCCTCTTGGACTGCCTGTGAGTTGTCACCCAGCAAGGCGATGTCATCGGCATATTCCAAGTCAAGAACTCTGTTCCCTGGGAGGAGTTCAACCCCACCGTTTGCTAGACCGGACAAAGCGTTCTGCAAAACATCCTCTATGTTACTATTTCGCTTTATCTCCTCAATCCGTGACGTAAAATGATCAGGTACGCATATAGCACATTAGGGCTAGTAAATTTTAGTGAACTGACATGCATGTAACCACAGTGAAAAGCTTTTTACAGCAAGTGAGGCATTATTAATCCTAGCGCATCACCCCTTTACACGCACCCAAACGTTAATGATGCAATCAGCTCGGTTACTGCGGAGTTGACCATTTTATTTTATAAGTCCTTTTCTATCTGTACACGTTCGTTTGCCACGGTTGACAGATGAAGTGTGCAACATAGATGCCTGATTATTTTAGTTCAGCAATTAAAGTGATTCTATTCGAAATACTAACATCTCGAGTCATGTCTTCTTTTGCCGTGCATGTAGTATTTCGAATTTCTCAATCGATATCCCTTGGCATACTTTGGTCGTTTTCCAACCGTCGATTGTCAATGTACTTGTGCAACTGTTCGAGAGGACTCAGAACATAACTGACTTCATATTATCCTGCTGAAATATTGTTTTCCTCGCCTTGTTAAAATTTGCAAATGGAGCTGAATGTTTGAATTTGCAGTCGTCAAAAGAAAAAAATTTGCAGAATACAAAAGGCCTAGCAAGAATGACTCACGTTCGTTCAGAAATGTAACGGCAAAACAATTCAACGCGTCAGCACTTATCAAATATGTTTCAGCTTCAAGTTACCCATTGGAACAATATGCTAGTGATTGCTTAGGTGGAGAATAATACCCCGTCGTCAGAGTCTTACGTGTGATTCGATCTTACCATCTCCTCCTCTTAATGTTTATTGAGAACATGAGTTTGGTAAATGTTTCTTTCCCAAAATTGCCTGTACACGACCAAGATGCAGATCATTGGTGTAATACCAGTGGGGACTTAACTAACTGCTACTATGCGAGACCCATACGGTAAGAACAAAACAAACCGCAATGTCTTTCACTTTGTGTGAGCCAAACCAAAGTCTTGTATAATGAAGACTGGGTTTGAGGTTTTCTGTTTATCTTCGCATTTGATTCATAGTTACCTGTGAGTAGTGTGTGTGGGATAATTGATACTGATTGATTTGGCTGACTATCCTTTGGACTTCACATTCACGCTTCAACCATACACTCGGAAGTACTAGACTCGAGTTTCACTCTTATTAGAACAACTAATCAGTAGTGCATATCCACCGTCCCGTCCGGGATTGGAAGTCCGGACTCATCGCATGGAAGTCGAGTGTGTTACCACTGTTCCAATCAGCTCATGCCATGGCTGAACCAAATTGCCAATTCATGTTTGTTCAGGTATTGTCTTCAGTGATAGTCAGTCAGTTCATTTGACCCGACAGCAACGAAGGGAGACACAGATGACAACCTATTAACTTCAATCGAAATATTTTTGTTTACCAAACGGGAGCGGAAATAGTTACGTGTATTTAGCCCTAGACATTTTAAATTACCTGAAGAGGGGTAAAGCAAACACAATAGAAGCAAAATCGTAGGCGGAAGGATTTTTGCAGATAAAATAACTAAACCAAGGAGCGACAAAACCACGAAATTCGAAGGGAAACAGTGTCAGTAACTTGATAAGGTGTTTGTTATGCTACTGTCCAAACGGAATGGAGCCCAGTTTTCGTTTTATCTGTTGAAACACCACACCTCATGATTTTTATCCTTTATTTTGGATGCTAACTTTTTCGTCCTGTCTGTTTTCGGACTTTTGTCACGGCACTAACTAAACACCAGACTTGAGTGTCATATGATGTGTTCTGCTTATTGTAGACTATTTGATAAAAGAAAAGACAGCTTAAAACCTAATCGAATACATTAGTGCTTTCATCATTAAATTAGTACAGCAGTCGGTCGAATTCTGTAATTTTTACGGTTACCGACATCAAATGTGTCTCATATTACGTACCATTAAATCGTCAGGGATTCTCTTGGGGTTGTCGCTTGAGCAGATGATCTGCGGTTCAACGAATAGATCGTGGTCATCTGATAAACCCACAACATTTTGCGATAACAAACCAGCTGTAATATTACAAAAAAGGTGATATCAGTTTTAGTTTCAGTTTGTACAATCATTCGCCATGCACATTCGTTCGCCGGTTTCGGTTGCTGTCTTTTGGTTGCCTATTCTGATGAAGCAGTGGGAGAAAGACAAGAAAGTTTGAACTAGAATCGAACAGAAAACGGAAAATCTCAGTGAACGTAGGTTGCAAAGAAATTGAAAGCGGACAACAACGCCACTGTTTACGACACTCACTTATACAACTCTACCCATTGATTACAGCGATCCCTAGGTCCCCATCCAGAGAGCCCAATACGACCTGTGTGACCAAGTGTCCTGTTTCGGTTTTTCGTACCCTCGTGCTAGTTCTCATTTTGACCATCCTTGGCTTTTTTCCATCCACTAGCTGCCTCGACAAACCTCGCGCGCCGTGGCAA